AGAACTTTATGTAATTATTTCAAATTGCTACATCTATCCAGAGAAATACAGTCCCACAGCTATGGGGCAGGTTATATTCTAATTGTTACATAAAGACTGAGGACTCAGGATATCCAGTCTGAATCTGGCTGCGCCAGTCACCCTTTTCACAGCTTCACCAGATCTGGTAACATGTACATGTCCTCTCCTCAAATGCAGGTTGTACATACAAAAGTAGGTCATACACATGTCTGCAGTCCCTCCTGAATGTCAGGAAACTCAGTAATTTCCATCTGTTCTGCAAAGACAATGCCTGGGATGATAAATCTTAGGTCACAATCCTTTTGTATAACAGGATACTGATCACCAGGGGCATTAAAAAGGCTGTTTACTCAGCCACAGGAACCAAAAAGGCTCTAATTGTGTCCTTATGTCCAGTGTAAGTATGAAGAATATTGACAGGGTTTATTGTGAATGACACAAAAAATGGGAAGCTGCTAAATGCAATTGCAAGTAAATTAATGTGGAGAGCAATTTTATAATATAAAATATGTGAAAGCTTAAGAACAACACATAAATTTTCTTTCTGTCCCAAGCAGATATTTTCTGAAAAACAATTATGGAATACACTTATTCTGATACTATAATAATTCTACCATTTTCAAGAAATTAATTCATCCACTTGTATCTCTACACACTGACTTTTACTCAGCCTTAATAGTGTCCCTAAATTAACTACCATTAAGCCTTTCAGCCTTGTCATTCTTTTCACATTACCATGTAAACATAAAACTACCCAGTCCTTTCAGCTGAAGTTGAAAAAATGAAACAGTATTGCAGATAAATACCTGGAAAATCACTGATAAAGCTTTTGTTGACTTAAACAGTGCCAAGGTTTCATCTGAATGTTCTCTGATACAATGCCTTTGTGAAGCTATGAAGGCACTGGATTCGAGGTAGCAAAGTACACGCTGATGGTCTCCAGCTGAGATGCCAATCCTTGCATAGTGGATTTCTTCCCATTGGCAACAGATTGGCACTCTGTGGTTGTCTTTGTACCTGTGGACAGAAGACCAAAAATCCTGGTCCCCACTGGACTGGCACAGACCCATATGTGAATGACAGGTTCAGCAGATGTCAAGGATTGGTGCTGTGCAGCTGCAGYGTTGTGAGAGCAGTCTCTGTACACCCAGAAAGGGATGTGGAGCTATCTTTTCCACTAATTTTGTATTGCTATTCCCAGCATGGCTGTGGCATCTTCAGAAGCCACAACGCCATTTAAGAGCCTAAGTCTCCTTCGGTTTCGCTCCTGGAAGCCTTGAAACACCTCCAAACATTGCACAGGTGTTTCCCAATTAGTTGCCAACATTCAAAGGAATATTTAAGTTGAGATAGTCCACCTATTTAAAGGTGTCTGAGCTGTTATCTTCTTCTCATAGGCTGATGCTGATCCTTTAGCAATGCTTCTGAGTGCTGGCTGATGCAGACAGACTTACTTTTCTGACCTATGAAATATAAAAACACAGACAGTTCCTTATGAAACCAAACCAAAACAAAATATTGCAAGGCCGTCTCTCAAAGTGTTCTGCCATGTCCAGATACTCTGTCTGCAGGATCCCCTGTGCATCCCAGCGTGCCCACTGGAACAAGTCAACAGGACTGCCAGGGCTCAATGCTGACGGAAGAATTTAGGGGTTTTGTGATGGGAAAGCTCCTCTGGTCTGCAGTGGTCATGGAGGTGTCATGGCTAATGCAGCAGGAGAGACAAAACCATTTGGTGACCACAAAAGGAAATCTTCAACATGTACTTCTGATGAAAGAGAAAGAAAAAACAAGTCCTGAGCTTCCAAATAATGAACTGAGATAGAAGAGAGAGGGGCTTCATGGATGTGATCATGAATCAATTTGCAATATATTTCATTATTTAAAACATTAATTATCTTTCTGCTAAATTAATCTGAATCAGTAGCTGTGTTTAATTCTGCCTACTGCAGTGAAATTCATCCACATTCTCCGATCACTCTCCTACCCTGCAATGGGAACCACTCTCTGAGGTGAATCTTTGATCTAAAAAAAAACTAAGTAAACATAAATACTTTGGTTACAACCATCTCATTTAGAAAYTCAGTGCCTTCAGAAATACAACACTGAGTTTTGATCCATGATACATTTGAGGAACAGGATGATATATTCATGCTAGTGGTTTGCATCTCAGGAATGACTTAGGTTGATTTTTAGTTAAGTTGACTCTGGAGACATTTTCCTTTTTATTACAGCTCAATTGGTTCTTTTTTGTTTCTTCTTTTTCTTTCTTTTTTTTTTTTTTAACAGAAACCTTGCAGAATTTTTTAAACACATTTTACAGATTTTTTTTTTTTGTTCCAGAATTACATTAGTTAATGGACAAAGTTTAACAATACTTGTTAAGTTCACTTCAGCCTATTAAGCTTTGAAAGTAATAAAATATAAGGTTGTGGTATGAATTTTAAAAAAAAATGAGAGATTGTTTGTGGTCAATGGCAAGATATTTATTCTAAATAAATAAGGAGCCAAAYTGATTCATATTTTTAATGCTTTCTACTTTTAAAAAGCCAACCAAACAAACAACACYATCCTATTGCTCTAGTTCAGACAAGTAGTTTCTACTTTAGAATGTAAAAATAATCTGTAAAAAGCTAAAAGGAAAATTTAATTATGAAGAATAACAGAAAATGTTGTTTCTCCTATAACTGTCTTTGGAAAATTATGTAAATCTCAAAATTATTTGGAAATTATATGTAAAATTAAATATTCACAGTTTTGAACATTCAGCTACTTTTGATTAACAACATTGCTTGCTCCCACCTGGGATGTTTCACACAGCAGTCACTTCATAGTGTTGGGAGGAGCAGAACTGCCTCTATGGAAAACTGTACAAAACAAACAAATACAGCACAAATAAAAAAATGGTGATGAGGGGGGCTCAGGTGTGTTTGTGCAGATTATCCTCTTAACAGCCAAAGAAAATGGAGGGGGTGTTAGGAAGGGACCTGCCCTCCTCTTCTCTTGAATTTCAAGATTTTAGAAATGAAAGGAAGTGTTTTCTTATGGTTCTCTGAGCCGTAGTTATGAGAAGGCATCCAAGCTGTTGCTTCTATGGATGTTTCTCACTTCTTAAATTAGGTCCAGTGTCTGTACCAGGGCAGTGCTSAAAACATTTTGGTGTCCTCAAAGCACAGAGGATCACAAGGACACTCTGAGCAAGAAGATGCTAACRGGACAGTGAAATCCACGTGCCACAGTTTTATTTTCATGCTAATACTGGCTTAAATATTTCCATCAGACTTCAGCCTCCCACTGTTTCTCCCCATCACCTWCTCAGCTGTGCCTCCCCAGCTGTTTTTAGATGTAATTTACATGTAAAATTATATCAGATAAATGATTCACAATCTAMGCAGGCCTACATTTAAAGAGGGAAGGCTTTATTTTTCACCTAGAGCAGTTCCCTGGTTGTACTCACTGCTCAGTCCCACAAACAATGGTGGCAGCTTGTCACCAGAACATGTCAGGGAAGAAGAACCTGAAGCTGACATTATGGCTGAGGAATGTGAAGGAGGAATCAAAGCACTGTGCACTTCTCAGACTGCACTGAGACTCTCTTGGCTGAAAGCAAGAGAGCTTTACTTTGGTTCATTGAAAGTCTCGTGAACATCTGTGTTCCAAAACCTGCTGTGGTTTAATGAGGTATTTTACACACTTACCTCTAGTTAATGAAGATTTAATTTCCACAGGATGTATCTGTACATGAAGTTATTTTGCAAAGGGAGCCCCTGAGGACTGCTGTGTGTGCAGTGCTGCTCCCAAAGATGCTCCAAAGCCCTACAGCAGAGCAAGGGCTGCTCCAGCCTCTCCCCAGCTCCAGGGTCTCYATTCTTCTCCTACATGGGGCCCCTGGGTGCAGGGGTTAGGAGGACAATCCTAGAGGGTTGCTGGGGATTGGGATTTGCACCCTCTCCACCAAGTTTATTTCCCTCTGGCATCCCATCAGGGGACAGACTGCTTGGCAAATACAAAAGACAAGTTTCTGGCCCAGGGACAACTTGGCCCACTCCAGCTTATCGTGGAGGAAATTACTTCGTTGTAACTTTGTCAGCACCAAGCGAATACACCATAATTAGTGCATTCAGTGTGAATCCCAGTGGAAGCAATAATGATTTTCAGTTTATTCAAAAAGGTTGCTATTTTCCCTGACAAAAATTTATGACCTAAAAATATCTGATGTATTTCTCATTACTTTAGTGACTGTAATGATATGTTTGGAAGAAACACCAATTTTCCCGTCTACTGCTTTTGACACAACAACAATTAGTCATAAGCAATGAAAAAAGACTTAAATTAGTTAAGAAATACACAATGTTTCTGTATTCATAGCCACTGGATTATTATTTGGTAACATTAGCCTAACTTGATTTGTGGAATCAGGGATTATTAAACACACCCTGTAAAAATTCAAACCTGTTGATTGTAAAGAGGCAAAAGAATTGTATCTCATCAGTATAATCCTTCCAGAGGAAAAAGACACCTTGGTAACAGCCAGGTATCACATCATGTAGTGAAAATAACAGTGCAGTTGTCAGGAAACCAAGCTAGACTTAGGATAGCAGTGTTTGTCTAATTACAGAGAGAGAAGGTATATCATGCTATCTCTGTGCCTTGTCACTAAGTTTGGCTCCTGTATCTTTAGTTATTCCAGAAAATATATGGAAAAATATGTTTGTAAATATTCTCCCTAAGCATTTACTATATCGATCTTTGTTGGCATGCTTGTTGGTCACTGATACTAATCTATTTGATTAACATACAAAACTGTTATGAAAATTATCACTATTAATATTTCAGAAACTTAAAAATCCCTTTACTATGACAACTTTACTGCATCAATTTTAGCCTTTACTTTCCCCTTTTTTACTCTTCCCAAGATACTGCACTTTCAACTATTCTCTTCTCATATGTTATCTTACCCTTGCTTTCCAATGTTGCAGCATTTCCCGTGTACCCATCTTCATAAATAATGCCTGGGGGAAGAATCTACAACTTCTCTGTCAGTCCTTATCCAGAGGTGCAGAGGGTRGGTTGGTTCTCCCAGCACCCACAGGTGAGTCATTGACACCCATCACCCTTGTCATGCAGACTGGTTCTCTCACTCTGAGCTGCACCTTCCTCAGCTTTTCCTAGCACCGTGTGCTCATGAATAATTATGAATTTACTGCCTTTTACACCTAATCTAATGTGGTTTGGAAGTCTAGATTGTCAAGGCTGCCATCTGTACTCTTGACAAGGGAGGAATAGGGCCTGAGGTCTGGGGCTCTGAGAAGGTCTAAGGTGAAGGTTTTACTGCTTCATTGGCACTTGGAGTCTTCTCGTGTAATGATGGAATATAGGTTAGGCTACAGATGCTCTCTCTCTCTTTCTCTCTGTCTGTCCCTTAAACAAAATCCCAGGTCTGGCTGGTCTCAAGCAGGATAAGAAGGTTGGTGGTTAAGAGGACACATTGTCATGGGCCCAGCGCAGGCAGCTCTGATGAGAACTAAGGTTTGGCACCTGTAAAAGTCAAAAGGTAATTTGCCTCTTTCTCAATGCAAAATCAGGTTATACCACAGCATGAGGCTATTTCTCTGTTTGTTTCCTTTTCTTTCAAAGTTCGATCATTTCCTTCCCCTACTTCTTCATTTCTTGCTGTTTCTGGTAGACTGGGAAATCTCATTTTGGTAATTTTTATATCGTGAACACAGAAGAAATAGGTTTTGTTTCATTACTGCTCACTCTGCAAAAAAACTGGGCTTTTGCTGTGCTCTTTGCCTTTCAATTACACAAAAAGATACACTATTAAAATGTAGAATAATTTGCACTACTTGCACTTTTCTGAACCCTTCTGCTTAGAGGAGTGATTTAAACAGCACCTACTGCATCAGCTAAACAACTTGGTCTCATTATTTTCTGCAGATAATGGGGATCATCTGTTATTGATGAAGCCTAATTTATTCACCTCATTTTCCTCACTGAGTTCCCTCAGCAACAGACCCCAAACAACAAGCAAATGAGCATGGAACCATGTTTTAAAGGACAACCCAAGTTTTCAAAGACAGAGGCTATGCAAATGCTTCCATAATAAGGAAAGTCCTCTTTGAGGTTTCTTGTTTACAAAAGTCTCTCTAACAATGGCTTGCCTCAGATCTTGGGGTCCAGTGAGTCCCACCAAAGCTAATGTCCAGCAGTGCTGCAGCTTCACCCACTTTCTCTGCCCTTTCTGAGAGAGTCCTAAAAAAACACCAAAGTCAGAAAAACTCACTACTGGAGTTTTGGACTCAAATGCAGAACTGCCTGCACATCTCTGAGTTACGGTTTGAAATACTTTATGAAGTGTCACACACAGTTACTGTTGAAGAGCTGAGCTATTCAACTTGCTTTACTCGCAGAATTGCTAGCTTCTCAAATGGAGCAAATACATATGATTATAGATCATGAAATGAATGTATATGAAAGTCTCCAGGTCTCTTGAGCCCTTCTCTCAGCTTGTAAAGTTCTTTGAAGTTAAAACAAAAACAAGCCTCTAATTATCTCAAGAAAACCCTGTGAACAAGGAGTCTTACCATCACAAAGAAATTTTCACCCATCATCTGTTCTRTGCTGCTATTCCCATGCAAAATCTTTATCTGCACATTTTCTAAGGCATCTTCCTTCTGCGTGACTTCTGAAAGTCTTCAAGTACCATTGAGCCCAGGACAATTTGATTTCTCCCTTTGAGTTCCTTGTTTTTAATGTGATCCCTACTGAAAACTTGAACTGTTAGAATATTCTGTAATAACAACATCAATCATGAAATATTTGCTTTAGGAGAAACAGTGAGAAAATCTTACGTTTATTAAGTTCATTGTTCAGACAATTTCACAAAATGAGGTGACACACACGGCCCCCAGATCTGGATTGTACATTGAGAAAGCCGAACAATGTGGTTTGAGGGAGAGCTCTCTGCTGTCACTATCTGAATTTAACAAACAGTTTGCAAATAATTTATTGGGTACTAAATAAGTTCCAGGTGCTCAGACAAACCTCCAGTCAAAGGCAGAAGTGTGATTTCTGTACCTCTGTGRGTAATCAAGTGATGTCACATCTGAGAGCTGCCACTGCTGCAGAGACAAAGGTTGCTYTTCAGTAATTTGGAAAATCGGGTCAGTTGTGTAAACCCTTAGTGATCAGCATGTCCAGGGTCACCAGCCATGCTTGAGAAGCCCACCAGGCTTCAAAAGGCAGTAGTAAAATGAGCTGCCTTTCTGAAGGATGCAAGTGGCTTACTGGATGAGGTAAAGCTGTACCTTAGGGTACAGCTGTCTCATTTGTCAGGGCATATTAGGCTATTTCTGAAGTTTTACACTAGCTACCCCCACTTCTGATCCTATGGGCAGCACGACAGACCCCAGGGGCAAAGATGGTGAGCAACAGGAGGTGAGGCAGGACCTATGAGGGAGTGCCTGTGCCACTCCCTGCTACTGCAGAGCAGGGCTGGCCATAGCTGTAAATGAGGAAACTTAATGGTTGCCATAAATTATGTGGCCAACCTTGGGGGCTGTTCCAGCAGTGCTGAGGGCTGCCACCTTGGAGTGAATGCCAAGATGCCAGTCCTCAGGCTGTGGGGGCAGATGCAGTAGCTGTGTATCCCCTGGGGGCTTCCTGAACCTTCAGAGAGGCAGATGAACCATGTGAARGGCTGATTTGTATGTCAGTCACTCATACCACTACTTCAGAACTAATGAGCTAGTTCTTAACATCTTTGAAAATATCAGTTGCTGCTGAAAATAATAAACAGAAGTTTATGCATCCCAAGCAGCTAATGCCCATAAAGAGATCACGTAGCATAAAAGGGATTGCCAAGGAAAGGATGCACCCATTTGAAGCTTTTGGCAACAGCCAKGTTCCAGACTGATTTGCTTAAAATTAGCCCCAAGGGCAGTTCAGAGCAGCTCCATACATCCCATGTCACATGTCAACATTTCATTGCCTAAAATGGAAATGGTTCATAAATCACAAGGCAGTACAAGCATGTGCCAAGCAGAGGACTGTTAATTGYGTATTAGAAGAAATAACCTTTTTAACAAGCAAGTTTACAGGGGCTACTGTAATGAGAAGGGGGAAAAAGAAAGTTCTTTGTACTGCCCTTGGAACTATTTGCCTTCMCATGCCCTGCCCTCAGAAACCTCTGGGTTTCCTTCACAGTGAAATATTTCATTCTCCTTAGCAGCTGGAAGTCAATGTTGGATTTGTTAATGCATGAGGTGCAGAATCAGTGACAGCTGYGTCTGTGCCTGACCAAAGGCCATGGCATGAGGGGGCATATGCTATATACAGCATGTTTCACTCACTGAGGCAACAGCATTTTGGTTGTACTTCAAGCCTTTCATTATTGAGCCTYAAAATAACTGTATCTCTTGGGCTTGCTGTACCAAGGATGCGCTGAGGATTATGTCATGTGCAGGTCAGATGTCTCTCTAGGAAAATATGGATGAAAAGCTATAGGCTGTSCACTCTATGTGTGTGTATGCCTACAAATGCCTGGACGTCATGTATAATATTATAAAACCTGTTTTTTGCAGATGGAGGTGTTGACTCTGAGTGCTTGTGCTTCTGCACAGGAGGAGAACTGATGTAACTAACTTACATGTCAAGAGAGAGGCATGTGCCTGCTTGTAAACTGGAAATACGGAATAATCATCTGCACACACACACACTCTCAGACAGGACTAAAAGCCTGCAGACATTTCAGGATTGAYAGCATGCCAGACTCTGCAGAGAGCTGGTTTGGTTTTCTAAAACTTGTAAAACAAGAATTCCCAGAAGGCAGCCAGTCTGCAGGCAATTAGGAGCAGCCCACAGCCCCTCTGCTGGAGCTCTTCACTTGTACTGAGCTTTGTGTCGCCGAGCTGGTGTGGATGGTGTCACACAAGCTGCTGCACAAGGCACAGTAGGAGCACATCAAATTGCTGCCTGAGCTTCTTCTGCATTGTCCATTYGAGGGTTTTCAGTGTCATTTTTGTGCCAAGGCCTGCAAGCCTCTGTGCTGTCCCTGGGAGCAGCATGTTGTTACACTTGGGGAAAAAGAAATCTCTGTCTTTCAGAAGCCTTTAAAATTTTCCCCCAGTCATTAAGACCCAATAAAACTGTTAGCACCTCCTCAGAGATCCTATTTTCTCATGCCATCTTTCAGGTGTGCTCTATGGGCTTCCCTGTTTAGCACATGCAGGATACATTTTAAAAGCCTCATGAATTATTTTGGGTAAAGCGAAAGGAAGCAAACTGCTGGCTTTGGAGGGAGGTTAATGTGGCAGTAGTTCCACAAATGGGTATCCTGGATCTGAGCCCAAGTCTCTGTCCTTCCCAATCTCCTTTCCACTTAGGTTTGATTTCCAGGCAGGCAGCTGGAGCACGGGAAGCACGGGACTGGCTGGAGCTGCTGTCCAGAGGCAGGGAGTGCTGGGGTGCATCCAGTGCTGAGTGCTTGCCTTGAGGCTGGAGGGCATCCCTGGGTCTCCTGCCCTGCTTGGTGCAGAGTTTGGATACAACTGGAGAGATGTGACATGGAGACACCAGAGATGATTTAGAAATGAGCAAATGATGGTAGAGAAAGGGCAGCATGCAGACAGAGGACATCACCAACAGCGTCTGTAGGAGGCAAAGGAAATTCCTGCAGGAGTCATCTCATTGGATTTATCAGTCTGCCTGAGTGTATCCTCAGGGTCTGTTTCACTTTTTCAAATTCTGGACTTTGTGTTAAGCTTTATTGGTCCAAAGGGACAAAAACTAGAGAGCCAACGTTTTACAAAACTTATTCCAGCACTCTTCCATTATAAGAATATTCTTCCKTCTTTCCTTGGCACTGCAAAGGCCTGCATAAATTTAATTACATCTATTAATTTTGCAGCAGTGTATCCCTTCTCCCTCTGTCAAATCACCATGCATTGGATTCTCAATTTAGGATTTCTTTTATTTCAGAAATTAGCACAGAAAGGTTCATATTTGCAGAGAGGAAAGGGCATTAAAACTGCCTTAGAAAAAAKATTTTCTCACACAAACACATTTTTTGCAAGTAATTTTCTCTTTTGAAAATTTTTCTGGGTTTTGTCTCTTCAAAATTTAATGTTTTCATTAACAAGTATGGATTTGTGTAGATTTCTTTAAAAAATATAAAAGGGGGTTATTTTTTTTTATTCCTTTCCCCCAAACCTGTTGAAAACAATTAACATAAAAAGCTACTTAAGAACTCAGTTTGCAACAATCCCAATAGGAATAAGACATCTAAGAGCTAGACATCTAAATAGCTTAACTAATTGCCTCCTGACAAAGAGACTTCATGGAACAAGCCATTCAGCCCACACAAGTGTCTTCCTTACCTTCAGAGAACACCATTACAGCTGTCAAAGTGCTCCTAGACCTGGTATAAGCTAAGGRTTAATTGAGGATAGTGGGATTACTAAATATCTTGATTTTTGTGAATAGATCTGATGTGAATCTCTGCTTTCCATGAGCTTTTTTGTACAGAATCAATCAGCCTAAAGATGGAACAGCAGATGCAATATTGTCMCTTTCCACAGCTGTAGCTGTAACAAGGGTACTTTCTTCTCTTTCCTCACTGACAGAATATCGCTGGCATGTTAAACCTGCTACAAATGGCAGCACCTTGTGGGTGGGGGTAAATGACCCCTCTYTCATGAGGCTGCCACGCCTCAGCAGCCAGCCTAAGATGCCATTAGTTAATCCAGGGCTCATTTTTGGAGGATATGTGAGAGATGAAAGTAGGAGCAGGCACTGTCTGCCTGGAGACTGCAGAGGTCCTCATTGAAGACTGGTACCAGGGGGTGGAGAGAGCAAGGTCTGGAGATACCCCAAAGCTCCATTCATCAAACCTCTGCATCGTCATCTCCAGCAGAGAGGGAGCTGGGAGGGATCACAGGCTGGGGCTGCCACAGGCTGCTGGGAAAGCACATTCTGGGCTGAGATCCCCCAGAGGCTGAGATCCTCCTGGATGTTTAGTTTTGTGTCAGGTTGTCTCAGTCCTTAGAGCAAGGCTGGGCTCATGCCTGAGACTCGGACACTGCTACAGTAGCACAACAAAAATCACTGCAAAAGCTGYCCTGAGTCCAGATATCAGCGAGAAGTCCGGGCTGGACATTGGACAAGAGGAACAGTGAGCACACCAGAGCAGGTCAAGAGCGTGATCAGACATTAGAAACAGAGAGGATGAGAAGCTCACACAGGACCAGGTGCTGGAGCAAGGCAAGGACAGAAGCAGGAACCAGGGTGAAGTAGGCAGAAACATAGCTTCAAATATTGCCAGAAGGAGCTGCAGAGATGACATCTTCCAGTGTCTAGGTCTAGAGCCACAGGGGGATATGAAGTTTAATTGTGCCCTCAGATCAACCAGGGAAAAAGGGGGACCCTGGCAGCACTGGAGACAGGGACTGAGTGGAGCTGATACTGCCAGGGAAAAATGAAAAGATAACACCATCCTGCTGAAGGTAYATTTAAAGATACACTATGAGTCTGAAAACCATAGCTAAATAAAATGTTGTTCTAGTTAATTTCGTTAATTAAGTATATTAAGAACCTTATTTCTAGACACAAGCAGAGCCTTGTTTGAATTAGCATGTTGCCTGATAATTAAGAAATTTGCTACAATAACAAGACAACGACCCAAAACCAACATTGTAAAAATAACTTTGTGAAAAAGTTTTGACAGTGTGGTAAGGCCATTAATTAACTGTATCACAAATATTCTGTTAAATTAGTGGTGGTGTAAACCAAGACATAGCAACTGCAGGTAAGCAGAGACTTCATGTGATATGAAAGCAAGGTATATTCCATGCAGACTGTGAAAAGACAGCGACATAATATTCAGTGTGCACTTCATGGATTTTTAGTAATCTTAAACTCTTGTGTATATGATATAGCTGGAATTGCTATTGACTCCAATGGTTTCAAATGAAAGGCATCACACAGCTAAATCCTGTGTGGATATGGAATGGAGGAATTYACTTTCAGCAAATCTAATTCTATGACCACACTGTTTCCTCTGGCCTCCCACCCTGGAATGTGTTAACAATATTTTTTTTCAATCTATGATGCCCTGGGCATGACAGGACTCAAAGGCCAATCCAGGATTGATTTTCACTCCTGTTGGCTTATTTCTGCACCCCTTTCTGGAAGAGGGAGGATCYCCATGGTGCTGTCTGAGAACACACCAGCTGTTCTTTCTGTGTGATGCACATTTGTTTAAATCCTGCCTTGATGCCTGCTCAGATGACCTATTCCAGCACCGTCCACCACAAACTTCCTGTGGGAGTCTTTTTATTGCCTACAATTTTACTGTTCTTTCATGTAAGCATCATTCTGTTCCTTAATTAAAAAATACCGTCAAGAGGACTGATTGATTTGTGCTACACCCATCATAATCAAGTTCTTCCTACATTGTCTTTCTCTCCAAGATAACCATTCCCTGGTTTGGTTTGTTAAATGTAAGTCTCACCAAATCTCTAATTTTGTATTCTTTCTTTAATGTTTTCTAAATTATATTTTTTTCTTGAAAAAGGAACATTACTGAAGAAAGCATTTCARAGACTTTATATATACATACATAAACACGTTCTGTTTGTGTTACTCCGTGCAGAAGTTTCTATTGCTATTTAATGAGCCTTTATGAGCRTTTAATCAGCTTTAATGTGTGATGTTCGCTGCTGCTGTACACTTCATTGATATCCAAAAATGCTTACAGCGTTTTCCATAGATCCAACCCAGAAAACAGCAATATATGAATATGTGACCATTTTCTAATATTCACCCCTCTTATATTTAATCAGATACAAACCTGACTTTAGTTACATATGTATTACCTAATATAAAAATCTATTTATATTCTTTGAATGAGTTTCTTAAAATTCGCCCTGAATTTTACTAATGAAATTATTTACAATCCAAGTTCCTCAGTTCATATAACAAGCACAGCAGGAGGGTGTGAATCTAAGGTCTGCTCAGCGTGGGATCCTAAGTTATTATCTGTGTGGTCATAAAGGCCTACATGCAACCGTATTTCTAATTCTCTAATGCTGATGTAGATCAGTGTTTTAAATGGGAGGATATGTGTGAGAAGGAAAACCTTGCACTTTCAGGGAAAAGATGCTGTCCTCTCTTTCTGCTTTAAACTGTGTCACCTTATTTCTTTTGTGCTTTTTATGTGTGGCATTTATGCCAAGTCTTTCAAATTTATCTTCTTTGAAGAACACGGTGGATTTTAYTATGCACTTGTGGCAACGGGTTATAGGGTTTGAATGTATGCACCCAGGAAGCTAATATTAAAAAARTAATTACTTTGTACTGGAAGGAGTTCTGCACCTCAGGATTGATCATCAGGATGGATGGAGAAGAGGATTCATTTCAGAAGACAGACGTAACCAGGGTCTTTTCAATRCAAGAGATGTGTCTACAGACACGTCTCTCAAACACACGTTTGCCAAATGAACTTCCTTGTGCAAACACCAACTTCATCATACTAATTACACTGCAAAATTCATATGCATTCACTCAATATTTGCAAATGATCTCCTTGCAGCAATGTCCTTCTTTTTTTCTTTCTGAACTGCACACACACGCTTTGTTGCSTATAAGAAAATGTACGCTAAAAAGAAACTTAAACACCAGCTGGCCCAAGCCTATATACATTTGAAGAGAGCTGCAGTTTACTCAGCTGAATTCATTTCCCAACAGTATATTTAAGAGTAGAATGCAATTTCAAGGTCTAACGGCTGATAAAGTTAATGTGCACATGGGAGAAACAAAAGGTGCCGTCATTGCTGCAGATGATTCCAGCGCAGATCCAGTCATGTATATTCCTGTGCTGAARTGATTCTCCTCAAATTCAGCCACGTTCCCCAGGGAAGCACAGGGGCTAGAGGGGAGCCAGGAGGTGGTGTGGGGTGGGGGGAGTACTGTGGGGACAAAATAAGTGGACGACTGCACTGGCAGACAGTGTCTGGAGGACAGGGGAGCAAAGAGAGTTTTGGACAGGGGGTCAGGGCACAGAAAACACCCTTTTGTACACAGCTGGAAGGAGGAAAGAGACAAGGAGCAGGGGCAGAAGGATGTGAAAATACAGGGATTAACTGCTGTGTTTAGCCTGAGATCCTGTTCCTGCAGTGAGAACAACCCACAGATGACACACAGTTGACTCAACTCAGCCTGAAAAGCCACCATCACTTGATGGCCTCACTGCACTAAAACTGTCCTCCCTTCCAAGAGGACCAGCTGGCTCCTCATTGCTAAAACCTGTCTGAAGATCAGTTTGAAAATGAAGGTCTGCTCTTTTTTTGTACTTTCCTTTCATGAGAACTCCTGTTCTCACTTCTGATTAAAACTGGGAGCTGAGCAGATGTCAAGACAAAAGAAAAGCTTTATCAAAAGTGTTCTCTTCAATAGAGCTGGAATAGCACATTTTGGGTAGTTCTAGCCTAAACAATCCTCATTTTGCTAAGCTGAACTGTGAGAGCTTTCAGGCACAGTGACCAAAGCAAAACTCTTAACTTTGTGTATTTATCAAGAATGGGAATTTAATTTATAAAGAGTGGTTCAATTTGGCCTTAGTAAATTTGGCCTTAAAAAATAAGACTGGCCCTGAAACAGGAGTGAAAAACTGCACTTCAGTTTTGAAGAAGCCACAAATGTGAAGGGCCAAACCCATGCTGGGATGTTGAAACAGATACTAAAGGAGATCCTGGTGCCTGAAGGGGAAGGTGGCAGCTTAACTCTGATCTTAGCTGAACTCCACAGCACTTTTGTCTGCTACCAGAAAGCTCTCCTGCTCTCACCATTTATCCCACTGAAGCTTTTTCCCCCTGTGAAAAAAAAAAAAAAATTGGGGTGCTTATGCCCAATGGCACAGCCCATGGACAAAAAAGGCGCTGTCTGGATGCCTTCCCCAGCTCAGCCTTGCCGGTGTCCCTGGCAGAAATCCCGGTCCTTCCCACAATCTGGTGCCCACAGTGCCTGGGGGAAGCTGGCAGAGAGACAGGTTCAGTCCCTTTTGGGAGCGTGACCAGAGCAGTCCTGAGAGGAGATGCCAGTCCAGAAAGGGACACAGCCACCCCCGTGTGCAAAGAGGAGCCACCCCAGGGGGAGGGAGCAGCCCCTGCAAGGACAGCACCCCAAAGCCACCCTACACACCCCCAGAGCCACCCTACACACCCCCAGAGCAAACACTCAGTGCTGAGCCTGCAGCAGCCGCAGCCGGGATGTGAGCGTGTGCTGAGCTGCACATCCTCTGCACGGCTCTGCAGCTCTAGACCTGCAAAGGTTGTGTCCTACGTGCCCCAGGCCACAGTGCCGTGGCTGTGCAAAGAGCCTGTCAGAGCTATGAACCATCACATCAAACAAATGAATGTTAATCTSTGCTCGGAGAGGGTTTCAAACGCTGTCGCACAGGGCTGGAGGTGGCAGAGCTCCTGTTTAACCYGGGCAGAGAGCAGCCGAGGGATGGGTGGGCTGCTGAGCAAAGGAAGCAGCAATGCAGATTCAACAGCAGATAAAATATCTGGACCAGCAAATTTCACAGCAAAACCCTGAATGTTTTCTGTGCCGAGCCAGCCACAAAGTCTTGTGTTAAAGAAACAAAGCAGACTTAGGAAAAAAAGAAAAATTAAACCCAGAAGAGTAATGCAACTGATAGATAAGAAAAGCCACAGGGGCTGGAGCTGAAAGGTTTGCTCTGAGTACACCCAAGGACCCCTTGATGGGCCAGAGAGGTGAGCAGTAGTGCTGTCAGTGGACACCCTGCACCCAGCAGCACAGACAGGGCAGCCCCAGGCCAAATGGCCAGGATAGGGCTGAGAGAGCCCCTTTGCCCTCTCAGGGGCCATGGGAAGATGTTTCTAAGCACTTGTCTGTTCCACCAACAGCCAGAGCTTAAGCCTGGCTGCTCAGCCTCTCAGTGTGTTCCCAGTGTAAATCTGGGCTAGCACAGCAAGGCACCAATAACCTGCAATGTCTGAAAACAGCACCGAAAATGGGACTTGAGATCTCCCTCTGAGCAGAGGGATTTGAGTAGAAGTGGTGGGACAGATGAGCTGAAGAAAAACTGGCTAAGATACATTTTGCACAGAAGACTGTACAAAACAAGGATTTAAAACCAGTTACCTCTCCCTGCAGAAGCTTTTTGTCATTCATATAAAAAAAGTTGTGATTAAAATCACATTCATGAATGGGAAAGTGGACAACTTGTTAATCTTCACTCTAAAAGGGAGGGAAAGCAATGGGGTGGGGGGAAATAAAGTAAGTTATAAAACCAGATGGTAGCAGCTGGTGACAGCTTAGGACAGTCTGG